CAGTTGGTGTAATTTATAGACCACCTGAAGGAAAACTTAAAAATGTAAAAACAAAAGACTATTTAGGTAAAGCAAAAATATAGAAAATATGGTGAATTTAACTATTATCAAAAGTCTACAATAATTAGTGTAAAGATTTTATTATATAAGTAGCATATGGGAGTGTTTCTAGAAAAATCAGGTTCCGAGAAATTTTTAAAATTAAGAACTTAATACATTTTAATCTAATAACATCAAAAACCAAAATGCAATAAAAATCTCAATTTTGCTAAAAAATTCCCAGAACCTGATTTTCCTAGCAATCAACCCATATAGATTTTATTATAGATAATATAATTAAAGAAAATAAAAATTTACTTATAGTTTGTATCAAAAATTAATATATTCACAACTGAATGATAAATAACATAAATTTTTCAAGTCATGTGAAATTAGACCCAATGGTGTTTTAATTACATATATATGATTATTATATCATATCAACTGGTTAAATAACTGAGATGATTGTTATAACTATAGTTAAGTTTAGTAACAGTCTTTTTTTAATATAAAATTATTATTTTTATTTAAATATCATTTTTTTTTTTCTTAAATATATTTAAATTTAAAAAAGTTAAACTATTTTAATAATAATATATAAGAATTTTATAAAATTTATTATTAAATTATTGATCTTTTTTTAAAGAATTGGACTAAAAATTTTTTAGGATTATTTTAAGTTTTTAATATAATGTTAAAATTATTTTTTTTATTTTCTTAAACTGTAAGTATAAAATTGTTTCTAAAACATTTTAAAAACTTAAAATATTTTGATATCTAATGATTATAAAAAAATGTAATAAAATTTTTAAAATTAATAATTATCAATATATTTTAATTTTTTAATTTTTCAATTTTTAAAAATAATTTATTATTTAAATATAAACTTAGTTTTATTGGATTCATCATATTAAGACAAATTAAATGGTGGTATTTTTATATTCTAAGACTGATAATTAGCAAGATAGTTTAAAATTTTAATTTTTTTTTATAATAATTTATTATTTATTTATCTTTAAAAATCACTAATTAATTACATTTTTTTTTTTTATTTTTAATTTTTGCTTAGAAAACATCATAAAATTTATTAAAAAAGTATTAATCTTTTTAATAATATATTTAAAAAAAATTAAAAATGATTGTAATTAATAAATAAAATTACCTGCAAATTTGTAGGCAAAACATTGAATTATCTTATTCTAAGAGTCCAATACATAGATAGATAAATCGGTTAGTTAAATAAGATTATGTTTGGATTAAGCAATCTTAAAAAGAAATCTTAATGAAAGTCTTTTAAAACTTGTGGCATTTAAATGCCTTAGAGAATTCAGATAATGATGATTAGAAATTGACAATTATTAGCATTTTTTTCGGAAGTATACGGTAGGTATTCGGCTCGTGCCGGGCTTCCATTATAATCAATATAATGATTCTTAGAAAAAAATGAAAGTCGTTGTCAATCGTAAGAAAACTTTCTCGAATGTTTTACCAACCAATTAAAGTAATATAACAAAGTGGAAGATGTTGTTTCATTTTAACCTGCAGTCTTTTTTCCGAGTAAAAGCAGTTTATTTAATTAAGCCTTGATTTAAATTCACTGTTACTCCAATTTTTTATCTTGAAAAACCGAAAGAAATGATAAGATGGATTGGTTTAAAAGGTCCTTTAAGAAATTTGAGAATTACCACTAGATTTCAACGTAATGGAACAAATTCACTTTTAAAGAACCAAGGAACAAGCTATGCGATACAGTACGTAAAACAACCGACTTTTTTTACGACGACTAGGAGAAGAACTTTTGATATTAATTTGAGCAGTTTTTCACTTTCAACATTACCAAAATTAGTACCAAAATTTCAATGTAGACCTTTTCATGCAACGCAACCAGCTAGAGCGATACCATTGCCAGCATTTTTATTAGCACTTAAGGCAGCGAATGTGACAATAGTAATACGTACACTTAGTAATTTATTACTGTCATTTTTACCTTTTGCATTACGTAAAAATCCAAAAACAGGACGGCCAAGACGATTATTAATATTTTTAACGACGGTAATACCATTAACAGGATTTTGTATGGTAACTTTAATGGGTTTAGAGCAAGCACCACACACAGGACGTTGGAGAGTTAGATTTTTGTCAGAAGAGGAGGAAAAAGAAATTTGTAATGTAGCATTTTTAATGGAAATAGAAAAATATAAAGACAAATTCTTACCAAATAATAGAATTGAGAGTATTTTTGTTCATCATGTTGCCGAGAATTTAATTAAAGGGCTAAATAACGATTTAATGACTTTAAAATCATTTAAAAATTTAAATGAAAAAGAAAGTATTGAAGAAGTTGCTAAAATTGTAGAACAAAATGTTGTTAACATGAAAGATGAGAGCACGGATACACAAGATGGAGAAAATGAACCTATACCTTTTGAAATATATATTATTGAAGATGATGAAAATTTTAATGCTGTTTCCTTCGGCGCTACAAAAAAAATGATTATATTCACAGGTAACGTTATTACGCGTTTTCCTGAAATTTACGCGCAAGTTCCCTCAATCAAATCTTATAAATTTAAATTAACTTAGGTTGGCTCAATTTAATCGATTATAATGAAGAATACCTTGCAGTCACATTATCTCATGAGATTGCCCATATACTACAGCGCCATTCAAGCGAATCACTTGGATTTAATCAAATATTATACATGTTTGCAGGTACTTTAATAAATCGTTTTACCCTCGATAGAAATTTGCATACATTAACTATAATTTTATTTTCTTATCAGATACTGCTCGTACATTGTTATGGTTTCCATTTCTTGCAGCAATAGGACCTTTATTAAATGATTATTTGAATACAGCAGCACAAAAGCTAGTTGAAACGTATACATCAGGAAGATATAATCAAAAAGCAGAGAAAGAAGCTGATATCGTTGGACTACATTTGATGGCCCTTTCAGGATATCATCCAAAGAAAGCTATAGAATTGTGGAATCATTTATCTTTGATAATTGATCAAAATAGGAATGTTGTAAATGATGTAAATGTTGAACCAAAAGAACCACAACAAATTGCTAACACACATCAGGAACGTAAAGAACAACATCTTGCTCTTTTTCAAAGCTTACAAGAATTCTTTGCGTCTCATCCTTTAGAAGAAGTTCGTGCTAGATATTTAGTTGATGTTTTACCTGATGCCGAACAAATTTATGAAAAAGTTGTTGCTGAGGGTGGAAAAGCTAAACTATTTCATTCTTCTAATAAACCTATTGAAGCTTTTAAAGATGGTGATCAGATCATATCCAAAATTTGGAATGGTCTAAGATATTTAATTGGGTTAAATTCAGAATCATAAAAAATCAATTTATTTGGACATTGGATAACGTTTTAAATTTCATCCATGATGCAAAATTAATAAATTCATTCTGTCTTGCTGGAAATTATATATCATTCATAATTTATTTATTAAAGTTTTATTTCTGTAAATTCTATTTAATAATAAATATACTTAAATATAAAATTTCCCTTCAATCTATGAACTCTATGAATATCTTTGTTCGATGTATATATTATACAATACTTACCTTATATCTACTTACCTAAAGCCAAAATTCATTTTCTCCTGAAGCGAAACAATTTTTTCCAACTTTTTTTCAAAGTTATGATTAAGCGGTTGCAGGTTCAGGTTTTTTAACATTTAAATCCAACTTTTTATGATATAAATTCTTAATCTGTTCAAGTACCATAAAGGTAACAACGGTATGTGGCCCTAACCTTACAAAAGCCGGTACCCATCCTTTAAATAATGCTAAAGGTCCTTCTTTACGAATTATAGTTGTTAAAACTACTAAAGTACTCTATTAAATGAGAAGAGAAAATGAATTTTCTTTTAACATCTTACAAAGATTATATACATATACATATACATATATTAGGTAACATACCTTTGCTTCTGATGAAGAATTCATAACACGAGTTTTGATGACATCAACAGGTGAACAAATAGTAGTAGCTACCAAACCCTAAATGAAGATAAAATCAATTTATGTTTCAAGAAAAGAAACTTCTCCTTAAACAAAACCTTTTCCTTTCGATAAAACTTACCGCCAAAACACTACAAGTAAAATGAGTAATAATATTATCTTTAAAAAATTTAGTAGATAGTAACATTTGTTTAAATTGATCATAAGAAGCTAATTGAGATGAATTCATTAAAATAGCACGATTCATATTTGGTACGATTCCTCTTGTAAGACCTGTAAATCCATCTTCTTTCACAATACGATAAAGTCCATCAAAAGCATGTCTATAATTTCTACGTAAATGTGATGACAGCTTTGCATCATTTTGCATACGAACCATAACTAAATCTGCTGGATTACCGAAAGCTCCTCCAATACATCCTGATATTGATGCACAAAAAATCTTTTTTGGAAATGACAATTGCTCTTACCATCAAAATATATTATTGATAATCAATAAAAAGAAATTATTTTGGGAATGCACCTAAAAAAAAAGAGAACAAAATACCTTGATTTTTTGATATTGCGGTCTTTAACTTTTCATAAGCACCAAATCTCATTGTAGAATAAGTAGCTTGTCTTAGTATACTAGCGGATAATCCACTATATAATCCCCTAATACCTTCATCTTTTACTATTCGTATCATTGTATAAATTGTTGATGCTTTGTTTAATCCTTGCGTTGTTTGTAATCTCACTTTAGTTAAGTCCAAAGGATGGCTAACGGTACATGCAATACATGATGCCGCTCCTAATATCAGAAAAAGAAAATTAACATGTAAAGAAAAAAAAGGATGAATAATTTTGCATAAATCTACCAACCTCCAAACCAGAATGGATATTCAATTTTCTTGTGGTTACTAATTTCGACTGGTGCTGATGTTAATACGCTAGTAGGTAGTGTAGGTGATGATTCCATTGTTATCGAAATTCTATTTGAATGAATTAATCAGTTTATTTACCTAGAAAAGAAGGGTTTTAATAAAGCATACTTTCCCAAATACTTACACAAAGTTAAATGTTCTTTTCGATTTTAAATAAAGCAACAGAGGAAAGAAAAAAAAAAAAAATTTTGATCTGGATCACAAATAAATAAAAAAATCTTTTCATCTTTCTAAATGGTCACACGAAAAATAATCTATGCTCCGAATTGTTTCATTATTTGTTGTATACATCATAAATATATTATAAATATTATAATCATGCATGATAAGAAATCGGATAGATTCTAATCCGCAGCACGTAAAAAAAAAGGAAATTAAATTAAAATTCATCGATCAAAACGATCAACATTATGCATTTTTGGACATGATTTGCCAAGCTTATTAAATTTCTTAACCACAAAACCTTTGTTAACCCAAGATGATTACATAATATTAACATGTGTTAACTGTAAAACTGGATAATAAATAAAAAGAAGTTTGTACTACATCATTCTGAACGGTTGTTTTTCTTGTTATCCAAGAGAGAAGTCAAGAGAAATCGCCATTATTATTATATAATTATTATTTTATACCTGAGAATTCGGTTTTTTTCAATTGGTGGAAAAACCGGGTCTTATATCTCCCGCAAAAGATAATTTTATAAATCATGTCATGTTAATTTTTTTTTTATGGTAATTTTTTTTGTACACCTTGCGTGTTACATTCCATGCCCCTTTCTTGTAACATATTAATATTGTATATTATTATTATAATTGATTTTTCTAATCAGAAGAAAAAAAAAAATTCTCCCATTAAAGTCCTACTTCCTTCTCTTTACACTTTCTTTTAGTGCCTTAATATATTTAGAAACTTACTTTACTTATAATTTCAACCAGCAACATATATTGCACTCAAATAGTGAATTAGATGGCTTTGAAGGTTTATATTTCTAATCTGCAATAAACTATACCCATACTAGCATATTACAGCCTTGCTATTTTAATCCGGAATATACTAACTCTTCTTTTATGTTCACAGTATGAGTTAGAACAGTGGGGTGCCGCTGTTCAAGCTTATGATTCTCAAGATTTTGATAAAGCTTTGGACACATTCGAGGTATACACGAAATCGGATCAGAATAATTCCTATACTTTAAAGTTAAAACCTTTCAAATTCATCTTGTTGAACTTTACGCATTTTAAATCTAATTTTTTTTTTTTTTGTTAGACTATTGCAGAATCTGCAAAATTCCATTTTAATATGGGTTTAATATATGCCACCCTCGGTGAACACGAAGAAGCAGTACGTAATCGCGCTACAGATCAATTAAATTCTCTGAACATTATTTAATTCATTTTTTTATTTTTTGATTTTATAATTTAAAAACGATTTAGTGCCGGTCATATAAAAAAGCTGTAAAATTAGATCAATTTTTTGCTGTAGCTTATTTTCAAAAGGGCGTTTCCCATTTCCTATTAGGTGAATTTGAAAAGGCATTAGCAAATTTCAATGATTCTTTATTGGTAAGTTTGTATTTTTTTTTTTATTTAATACTTATATAATTAATTTATCAATATGTATTTATATAACTTCTGTCATAGTATCTTCGTAAAAATGTTCTTATAGATTATGAACAATTGGGATTAAAGTTTCGACTTTATTCATGTGAAATTTTATTTAATCGTGGCCTGTGTTACTTATATCTTGGTCAAACGGATCAAGGTATGGGTGATTTTACATCGGCCGCAAAAGAAAAACAAACGGAGGAACATGAAGTCATTGATGAAGCTATCACAGTTCAGGGTCAAGTGAGCATTTTTTTTTTATTTTTTTATTTTCTAAAGAAAATATTATGATTTAATAATTATTTATTTATTTATTTTATAGGGTTTCACTGTATTTTCAATCCCAGTTGGTGTAATTTATAGACCACCTGAAGGAAAACTTAAAAATGTAAAAACAAAAGACTATTTAGGTAAAGCAAAACTAGTAGCAGCTGTAGATCCAGAAGACGCATTCACCGGTTTTACAGGTGCTCAACAACAAAAGGTATTTCAAATTACAACAAAAAAAAAAAATTTTTTTTCACATCAATTATATATATCATTAAGAATATTGTTTTTATTTTGTTTTTTATTAAAATAATAAAAATAAGAAACAAGGACTTAATACGACAACACCAATTACAAAAGCAAACACCGAAGGCGCTGTTATACAAATTAATAATGGAACAAATTCGCGACCAACTTCTCCAACTGAAAAACCTCAGAGACCTAAATCATTGTCATCCAGTCCAAGAAATCCACCTTTTCCTATGCGAGCGAGCAGAAATCCAAGTATAGCAAGACGACGTCCTCCTCAGAATGAAGGAACACCTATTTATGTTGATGACGATAAGACTTCTAATGGTGGAGGGCAATTTCCTGATAGACGCTTACCCGCTTCTGAAGGTACGATGCGATCTACCTCACCTGCACCGGATTCAACGGGCGCAGAACAAGGAGATCAAAATACATTTTTTCTTCGTAATAGTTTTACACAAATGTCTCCTCAAAATGGGATCACTACAACAAAGTCGTTCTAATACTCTAGATAGCAGTCGCGGTTCACCTAAATTACCATCTAACGGTCCATCTAGGATGTCTTCCGTAAGAGACTCTAATCGTGGACCACTCAGGGATGGACCTATGCGATCTAATTCTTTGAGAGAATCTAGCCGTTCAAATTCAATTAGAAATGGTCCACCCAGGATGAATTCTATAAGAGGTGGTAGATCGACAGCAAGGGCAATGCCTCAAAGGTCGAATACACAGGGTCGTACGCAATTTTTACAACAACAAATGTCAAAGATGTCAGTCTCGGATGATGATCAAGGTTATAACGATTACTACCAGGATGTAGATCAATACGCTAATAACAATATTACTAGTCCACCACCGAGTAATGAAGATTATCAAGTGTATGATTCATGATGATCCATCATTTTTTATTATAGTGAATACGTAAATTTAACTCATCAATATGAAATGGTATTCATTATAGTAATAGGCCGACATCTCGATCTCCAAGTTTACGTGGTCGCGGTGGAAGAGGTTCTTTCAAACCATCTCCTTTATCTATGCAAGGCGGTCTATTGGCTTCTCCAACAGCGGATAGTGGAGAGGAACATTATGCCAGTTTAATTTTCGATGATGATGGCTATGGTTACGGTGATGGTGAGGAAGAGGAAACACAATTCGAAATGCTTCCTCCACCACAAAAAAATAGTCTGCCGCAATCTCCGTATCCTAGTTCACCTGTTAATGAAATACTTAAAGAACCTACTAAGGTACATAATGAAAGTCATTTGCTGCATAATAATAACCATCATAATAACATTTATTATATATGTTTTAGATTAAAATTAAATGCTATCATAAAGACACTCGTGTAGTTTTGGTCTCAGCAAGTATAATTTATTCAGAACTTATTAAAAGGATACAGGAAAAATTTACCATAGAAGCATCCTTGCAATTAAAATATAAGGATGAAGACGGTTCGATGGTCACGATGATAGATCAAGAAGATTTCGAAATGGCTATATCAATGATTCCAAGAACATCAAGTGATATCGGTAGAATGGAGGTAACTATTAATCTTCTTTAACAACACCGTATTTAAACAAATCATCAACTCTTTATATTATTTTTATTATAGATATGGATAGAAACTGAATAATAAACTCATTGAAATTATGAGGGTATATTCCAATTTGTATTAAAAAAGTATGTATCTAGGAAATAATAATACTATCACGTAATCATGAAAGGGGGGTTTTTTTTGATTATCGTCATTATCATTATCATTATTATTATTTAAGATACGTTGGTTCGTGTTGTCAATACCTTAAAAAAAAAATCGGTTTTATGAATAAAAGGTTCAAGTGTATTATATGTATGTAATGATTTATGAAATATAAAGCTATTGGTGAGTGGAAAATTATTTTAAACCACAATTTTATTTGAAAGTTATTAATTTACACTATAATATATCATTATAGCTCACAAACACGAATCAGGAACATATACATATTTAATTTAATAGATTAAATTATTATTATTATTTTTTTTTTTTTATTTTTATTCCAACTTAATTTACCAATCATAAATTTCATTTCGTAAATTACATACACTATTACTTTTGAACCTTTATTAATTCTTTCACTTACATTTATTTAATAATAGTATACAAAACATGTTTTCAATTAAATTTTTGTTTTAAAAAAAAAAATACAGTATTCATTATTAGAAAGAAGGAATGATAATATTAAAATACAATTCGTTTCTTCAAATTATTATCCATTTATTTTAAATACAAAAAATTTCGCTTCTTGTTTATAAATGATATAAATGTTTTCGCTGGGATAGTTCGATATTAATTGATAGATTTAGTATAGATATTTGATTATTAAATATTTTTATCCGACGTATATTATAATTTTTTTCCATAAATACAAAATTAAAAAATCAAACTATTAATTAAAATTCTAATATAAAAAATAGTCCTAAACGAATTCAGTTCAGGTTAGATTACAAGCCAATCCATTTCGATTTAATTAGTTTGAATTATGAATCTAAAAATGGTTAATCTATACTAAGTTAAATTTAAAAAATTATGAATAAACTAAACTTTTTTGTTTAATTAAACAAGTTTAAATTACGTTTTATTTTACGTTTCAAATAAAAACATCTTTAAGGCAAATATATAAAGAATATTATTACCTTTAAACTTTGAAAATGAGATTAAAAAATCTTCTACTTTATTTGAATCTATCATTACTAAAAGGATAAAATTATAATAAACTACAAATATACTTATCTTATTATTTTTCTCCTAATAAGAAAACTTAACTATAAATATAATGAACTTCATTTTCTTTTATGAAATTCTTGAAGAACATAGCATCGCCCGTAAAAAATGGTTTATTTTCCGGGTATTTATTATTAAGGTTAGCATTAGAGTTAGGGTTTGGATTAGGATTAGGATCGGGGTAGAATTAGGATTAGTTAAGGGGATTAGCAAATTTGTCATATCTCGTCACATCCTTCAATTTATTAAGTATTCTGAGATTTGGAAAGATTTTTGTGAGAAAAATGCTAACTGTCACAATTATATGTCACCCCTAATAAGTATATGTGACCCAGAAAATAAAATCCGGTTACCATTTTTTATGGGTGATACTAGAGCTGTTGAAATTCTTAAAAAAGTCATCATTAATCTTATTTATATTATTTTTTTTATTAAATAAACTGATGATTATAGCACATAATAAACAGAAAATTTTATTAATAATACTTCATTAACTTTTTGAAATTACAAAAATTGATAAATTTTAATTATTTCTTTTTATATTAACAGTTAATATTATTATAGTATATTATTAGAATAAGATCTAAAATATTAAAACTTAATATAAGACATTTTAAAAATATAATGTAAAACATTTTCAAAATATTATAAAAAATATATTATTATATTATTATAATAATAACAAAGATGTATTAAAAAAAAATATATTTTTTTTATTTTTTGATTATAATAATAAATTAATTAAGAATTATAAAGATATATATATTTTTTAATTTTAAATGTATTATTTAATATAATAAATAAAATTAAAATAATCAATTTTAATAAATATATTTATTATTAGATTTATTTATTTGAGATTTTCTTTTTTTTTTAATTTAAATGATTAATTATAACAATTAATTATGTTTATTAAAATTTACAACTTTAAGAAATTTTCAATTATTTTATAAGTATTTAAAATTTCTTATTTAATTTAAATTTTTGAAATTATTTAATTAAACTTGGTAACAAATTTAAAAATAAGTTAATATATTATTTTATAATTAAGTTTATATAAAAGACAAGTTGAAAGAAAAAGTATATATAACTTATAATTAATTTCTTTTATTTAATATTTGAAAATTCACTTAAAAATATAATTATTTATAATTTTTTTTGTAATATAAATTGTTTAAAAATAATTAACTTTTAATAAATAAGTTTAATTGATAAAAATTTTAAAAATTTTAACAAATCTAATAATAATATTTTATTATTATAATATTAATTCTATATTAAAAATTATGTTGGATTTAATAATAGTTTTGAAAAAATATTTTAGTTATATAATTCTATATAAGGTAAAATAAATAAATATCTAGATGGTTATCTATTATATAAATCAATAATATTTAAATATTTTTTAAATAAATAATTAAAATTTATTTTATTTTTAATTAAATTTTTTTAATTAGTTTATTTGGCATTATTTGATTTTGTTACTTATAAAGCTTGTAAAGCTTGGGTTACTTTACTTTAAACTAATATGTAAAAAAATTAATTATTCTTTACTTTTTATTATATTGTTATTATATTCTAATACCATCTAACCTTAAAAATATTTAATAAATATATTAAAAATACATAAAATAATATTTTTCTAAAATGTTATAAAAATTAATTTTAAAGGATTGAGGTTATATATTGCTTAATATAGTAATAGCAGAAAAAATGGCAATAACGATTATATGATTAAATTAATGATTTGAGTAATATCTAATTGGATAATGCGAATTAATTTTTGTATATTCATTTGTTAGGTTATTCTGATAATATACATAATTGGATACAAAAATACTTTATGACTAGTATATCATAATAATGTAAAAATTTTCTCTTAAAAAATGCTGTGAGTTTTTTAAGTTGTTATATCAAAGTAAAAAATATGAAATATAAATGAATTACATAAAATTACTAAGTTTCTATTAAAGAATATCATGTCAACAACCTTCCAGTTAAAAAAAAATAAGATTTAAAACAATGTCATTGATCAGAAGTTCAGGATATCCAAAAATTTTTAAGTTCAGTTTCATTTTAATCGAACTGCTCATTTTTTATAAAAATGCAATAAGTTTCAAAATTGCAGTCACTTTAATAATAATTATCCAGGCCTTAACATAGCCACTCATGCAGTTTGTGAAAAATTTAAAAGTTTGATTATTAAATTTGTATCCTCTAAATCTATGTTTTATAATCCTTGATTTGACATCATGTTTAACAAACCTGAATTTTATAGAGAACCTATAGATAATTTTTAGGAAAAATGTAAAAAGAAGGTCAGTAAAAAAATTTATGAAAAAAGCCGTTATTTAAAAGACTTTTAGTAAGATTTTATGAAAATTATGGGTAATATAGATCAAATTCTCTGCCTTAATTTAAATAAGTAGTATGTAAAGAAAAGTAAAATTAATAATTAAAAAAATGGTATTATAATTTAATACTAAAAATTTAGAGTCGATGAAAAAAATTTTTTTTTTTTATCGATAAGATATAAGTGATGAAATTTCGAGTTTTAAATCAATGACATTTAATTGGTCGTATTATTTTATATATATATATAATTTTAAGATTTTTATAAGAAAAAAAAAATGTTTGCTCAATGTAAAAGTTATTTGCTTTCTTTAAGCAACAATTCGTTCTATACATCATTAAAGGGTAATTAATTTTATTCTAAACTCAATTATTATGTTAACTGACCTGTTTGTACTAAATAAAAAATGTTTTGAATATAGCTCGTTCATTTCATACGTCATTACTTTTACAAAAACGTCATTCAAAAGATATAAAACGAAAAAATCTTATGAAAAAAGTTTCCAAATTACAACAAGAAAAATTGCAAAAACCAAATGTCATAACAGGAGTACCAACGACATTTACAAATTCATTTTTACGTCCTTCACAAGTTTACGCTTCAACTACAGCTGTACAAGCTAGTAAATTATCATCTGAAAATAATCATCAATACAGGAATTATTTTTTAGACCAAAAAGATGAAGAATTTTTATTTAATATTACACCAACTATTATAACAGAACATTCTACGCAAGGGGATCAAGTTAAAATCGAATCAAGAGAATTAGAAAAAGTTCAAATACTTAAAAATCTTACTAGTTTACATAATGCTAATTCTAAAAGTATTTTGTTGTATAATATTCAATTAGCGATTAAAGAATTTGCTAGAAAAGAAGGCGATACCGGTAGTGCCGAGGTTCAAGGTTATTAAAATTTAAAAGGTTCATCGTTTTTTATAAAAAAAAATTCATTGATCTCTCTTTACTAAGTATTTTTATTTTATCTTATTTTATTTTGATTTATTATAGCTGCTGTTTGGACTGCTAAAATTTTAAATCTTAATGAACATATTAAAAATAATCATAAAGATAAACATAATTATAGAGCTTTAAGACAAATGGTACATAAGAGACAGAGTATTTTAAAGTATTTGAAAACGCAAGATTTAGGTAGATATTTCACTTGTCTAAAAAAATTAGGCTTAGATCAAAAATCTATCGAAGGTGAAATTGTTATGTAATGAAAGAATTACTCCGGTAAGGAATTTTGTCTGCGATCAAATTTTTTTTAAAAAATATTAAATTATCATTAACCCTTTTTTTATTAATTAATTCGGATATTTATTTTATAAAGAATATTATTAAACATACCAATTGCTTATTGGTATATATTTATATAGTATACAAAAGTAAGATGACATCGTTTTTAGGGAAAAAAGAATTTTGTTAGTGTATATGTTATTGAATTAATTCAGAATGTGGGAAAGTAGGGATTACGAAGGGTTGGAAGAAATTTATACATAACAGGAAAAATAATATAATAATAATTAAATAAATTATACGGATGATGATGTTGCTTGTGATGATTGTTCCTTTTTACGAATTTCCTCAAAATATGGATGTTGAAGTGCATCTTCCGCACTAATACGCTTTTCTGGTTGGTATTCTATTAACTGCTGCTAGCGACAAATAATTATATTTTCCAAAAAAAAAAATTTAAAACAAATCAACTTCTCATATGCAAGAAAGTTTAAAACCACTTTTTCGTAAAAACAATTTTTAAACTCACACTTAGTAAATCGATTCCTGATGGATCAAGTTTCGGAAGAATTGATTCTAATGGAATTCGATTATAAATAGCAAAATCGTTCTACAAAGAGATCACGGTTTATTAAGAATCATAATAAATATTTCCTGCTCTACTACCGGATAAACATACTTTATATTCCGGCAATTGTGATACCCTTGGCCACGTTTCCTCTGTTGGGGTTCCTAGAACTGTGATAACGTGGTTAAAGAAATATTAAGCTTGAATCTTTTATTTATCAATAAAAATTAAAATTAAAGGAAAGGATATTTAAATATTCGCAACAGTTGATCTTTAATTGAACTTCCCGGAAACAATGGTCGACCAGAGGCCATTTCTGAAAAAATAAACGAATTATTATTATTGTCGTTATTTATTTAAATATTTTTTTTTAACAAATATTATAAATAAAATTAGGTAACCTGCAAATATACATCCTGCAGACCAAACATCAATAGACGTTGAATATTGCCTTGATCCCATTAATACATCTGGTGCACGATACCATAACGTTACCACCTATACCGAATTTTACCACATTTACCAAAATATATATTAAATTCGAATTTTATTTAATTAAAAATTCATTACTTAAAAAACAAAAAAAAAAAAAACAAACCTCATGTGAATAACTTCTAACGGGAATTCCAAATGCGCGCGCAAGACCAAAATCTGCCAATTTCAGTTCTCCTCGCTTAATAAATATATATCAGTAAAAAAAGAAAAATATATATAATATATATTATGTTTATAAATATAAAATAAATAAAGCTAAATCTTTTTCAAAGTCCACCTTGTTGATAAGTAAATTCTGTGGTTTAAGATCCTACAATTTTTTAATTTTAATTAGTGTAGTGTAAAATATGTAAGTTCTCAATTTGAAAATTTCTAATTAATAATTCTACCCTATGCAAAACTCGATGTTCATGACAAAATGCGATACCCTTCAGAAGTTGATACATTAATTGCTATAAATAAATTAAAGATTAATATATTTGATTTTATAAAATATTTCAAAATCAATAAAATCATTATTATAATCACTTTAATTGTGTCTTTATCCAGATCACCTCCGTATGTATCTAAGAATTTCTTTAAATCCGAATCCAAATATTCAAAAACTAACGTTAACTTCTTTTCCGTATGTAAGACATCATAAAGTCTTTAGAAAAATTATATAAATTAATTCGCACAAATTAATAAAGATTTTTCTTTTAATTTTCCTTTTGAATCGATCACTAACTAGATAATTCACCTCACTATATTCGGATGTTTTAATTCTTTCAATAATGATATCTCACGAATTGCAGTACATGGTACCTATAAATGATAAAAAAAACTGATTAAAATTGGACCGATTGAATCAATTGATTGAATCAGAAATGATGCTGTACCCCTTCTTCTTCATTATCTAACCTTATCCGTTTCAATGCGACCACTTCATTTGAATCCCGATTCTGTGCTTTATAAACAATACCATACGTTCCTTTATTTCGAAGAAGACTACCGAATATTAGCAAAAACTTAGCTTGAATAATAGAAAACATTTAAATAAAATATAACCGACCTTCTCCTAACTTTTCAATTTTCTGTTAAATAAAAAAAAAATAGTTAATGGACGAACTTTGAAAAACCGATTTTTAAAAAAAGAAAAATATATACTTGATATTTATCCATTTCAAAATTGCAATAAAGAAAATTTCACAGGTTATCAAAAAAAAATTAAAAAGATGTCTACAAAAGGAAAAAAATTGTCGAGAAACTGAAGTAGGAAGGTCTTTGAGAATGTGTTTGAAATTTTTTTGCTATAAATTCCGTGGTACCATGAAAATTCTTTTCTGGTAAACACCATACTTTATACTATACTAAACATCGTAATTTTCTTTTCATATCTTTATGCTAACGTAATTGATGTTACAACTGTTGCACAATGGAAATTTTTCACGTCATGTGATACATTCCTCATTATCTTTTTATCTTTGACAAGATTTGAAAGAAGATAAGCTGCGGGACCTTCACATTCCACCAAATGTTCAGTTTCGTAAAAATCAGCCCTCCTGTAACGAAGAAAAAAAAAAAAAAAAAAAGTGCATTATTTACAAATTCATAATACAATAGTCACCATTCTTTCAAAATTTTTTTTCTTTTTTTTTCCTCTCTCTCTCTCTTTCTCTTTTTGTACATGAATGAAGAACAATGTGTTATATTTAATAATAATAAGATTTCGAATTTGTAAAGAAATAGTGTGAAAGACAAAAAAGAGTTACCTTAGATTATATAATTACATGCATGCACAATATCGGTGACAATTTGCAAAAAAAGAAAAATTATTGTTAATCCATAACAAACAACATTGCAAAGTCAATTGTTTTCTTGCATTAGCATCACATCATATTACTCGCTTTCATCAATCATTGTAATCAGTTGACCTTGAAATCGTACAAAAAGCCTCCGCCTAAATACAATTAACTTAATCTACACCCTGCAACTTTGCTACATTTTTTTCCTCTTATGGATAACGAACCATCATCGCCCCTGAATGATACGATTATAAATATGATGATAGTTGAACGGTCTTTTTTTTTTTTTTTCACCAGAAATCGAAAAACACTTCTCAAAACACATTTGAAACAAAAAGCACATTTATTACGAATAATCTTTTTAACTTGCAATAATAATAAAAAAGATGGTTAACGGTTTAGAAGTTAGATATGAAGAAAAGCATGGTTATGGTTTATTTGCCACGAGAGATTTCGAAAAAGGCGAAATTATATTATCAGAAACTCCCCTTATAAACACATTATCTTCAAAACGTGATCGTACTTTCGCATGCACATTCGATGTTGACTTGAACGTATTCTCAATTTTCAAAACATTCTTTGACGCTTCTCCAGAAGTTCAAAATGTCATATTAAATAAGTTCTATCTTCCTCCTCAAGACCAATTTGACTCGGCTTGGTCTTCAATTGGGTCCGCAAATATTGATAAAATCATTAAAACTTGTATAAACCGAGTTGAAGCTTGGTCGGACATACCTGAAGATACTTTTCGTAAAGTTTTCATGATTTTCACTTTGAATTCTCAAGATTTCAGCTCGGATGGTTCTGATGGTTCAGCTATTTTCGTATTGGGTAGTAAGATGAATCATTCTTGTGAAGCAAATACTTTTTACCAGGCTATTGATGGCCAAGGTATCCATACTGCGGTTGAAAGGATTTCAAAGGGCGAACAAATTACCACAGATTACCTTGGTAAGGATAGCATCCTCTCAAAAAGTGTAAGGCACATGATTCTTAAACGTACAAAGTTGTTCGCATGTGAATGCCCGAGGTGTACCGAAGGAATGGATGTGTCACGTGGTTTGCCTTGTCCAAATTGTTCTGGATGTATTCAGAACCCGAGAAGGATGAGCGGAGGATATATTTACTGGTATCCCATGTTATCCACCTCAAAGACTTCAACGGCACAGAGTTATTGGTTATGTGATATGTGCAATTCACGTTTCGAAGACAACAGTCCAAGACTTCATAACTTATTTACAAGAGAAGCAGATTTAGTGCAAAGGGTGATTGCTCTCGAAGAAAAATTAAACAACAATCCATTTATAAGTCGTTCTCAGTTAACTGATCTCTACAACACTTGCTTAACTCAACTTGGTACTCGTCATTGGACTTATGTCATCATTCTCAAGATTATCATTCTTTTCGATGCATCCAATGGTAAATTACAATCAAAGAACACTATAATTGAACACCTTGATCAAGTTTTGACCTGGTATGAAAGAATTGATTTTGACGTTCCAAGATATTTAGGCGTTTTTGTATTGAGAGTGGCTAGTGTATTAATTCAAGCTGGTGAATATGGTATTGGGTTATTCTTCCTTGAACGGGTATTTGATGATTTTGAATATGGCGACACATTCGTTCAAGATTACAAATTCGCTTTGGATCTTATGGCCAAATGTCGTACTGCAATAGCACATACAACATATATAAAAGATAATGTGGTTACAAACCAGATAAACTGTGTTGTATAAATGTAGATAGATTAAGGGACTCTTTTTAGATAGGTTTTCATTTTATCCTAGAAAGTTTTTATCCGCGAAACGCAATTTAATTATGTAAGTTCTTTATCCTGATATTAGAAATTTACCGTAAATATGTAAAATATTTTTTAAAATTTTTTGATTAATTAGTAAATATTTAGAATAATTATATATTTTTTTTTTTTTTTTTTTGATTTCTTTTTGTATATTTTCAATAAAAAAATAAATAAATAAAAAAAAAAAAATTAAGAAAGTAATAAAGTAGTTGTCTATTATTTTAAACGTGTTTGAGGAATATCCAAAATTTCTTCCGAGAGAAAATTCTATTTGTCACCTTATTTGTCACACGGATAATTTCGGCCAGGTTCAGTAATTCCAGTCAAAAATCACGTGAGTGAAAATGTGTTGGCGATTACCGTTTTTCTGAGATTTGCCCGCAGAAACCAACAAAGATTTCCGACCAGCGTCAAAACGGAAATTATTTGATTGGACTTAAAATTGCAATTTCTCTTTGATATACTCGCTATTCTCATATTACACGTTCAAATGATCCGAAATAATGATAATAATTAATTAATAGTTATCGTCGTTCAGCTAATAGGCACCAAATAGAACTAAATGTAACTTTTATGCAAATTACTACGCGTCTTTTATTGTAAGAATGAACATTTCTTTATAATAACGATATTACTAAATAGAATTCTTCAGGTAGATAGGCATATATATAAATCTTGTTCACCATCACTCTATTTTACTTTTCGAAACCCGAGAATGATTAATGGTCAAATTTATTTACAAGATTTCAGATGAGATTGATTTTTATATCATACGTAAAAATTATATTACAAAATGGATCAAAATTTATTAGTCATTAAATAAGAAATTAATAATATTACAAGGCATAAAATACAAAATAATACAATTAAAAAAATATACATGTTTATATATATTTTTTTATATTAGTTTTTTTTTCCCTTCTAAAGAATTATCATCATACTTTTAATAATAGATTAGATTTTATTACCACCAGTTTTCATCATCACTGGCAGAATTAACTTCATCACTATTGTCGCTTTGTTCAGTATCGGAATCTTCTTCTTGTAAAACAAAAAAAGGTCTTGTTCTTGGAAAACTATTTTTCTTTCTTAACATCACATCCGCCATTATAGTTATTTTTTCTCTCAATGTTCTTTTAGCACGATCAAACATTAAATTATTGCCAGCACCTTTCTCAATAGTATTTCCTTTTGTTATATTCCATCTTCTAGACGTACCATTTTTTGTTTTTCTTCCGAAAACCACATTATTTAAATATAAATAAATTCTATTTAATACACCGGAATGTAAAAATCCATTTTTACCATCATTTTGCCAACATCCACGTTGTTCTAAAAATTCTTCCAATTCACTTCTTGTCATTGGTCTATAACATAAACTTGTGCGATAAGCTGGTGAAAAATACTGTGGATATTTAACTAAATCTGGCATTTCTTTATGATTTTTCCTCCATAAATCTTCCCAAAATAAATACCACCATTGATGAACACGTGATAAATTTATGATTCGCATCCTTTCGTAAAGATATATAATACTTGGATATTCACTCTCCGGAATGGCTTGAATAAGTTTATTTTCTTCGGTTGTCATCAATAATGTTGGAAGAGACTCCAGAGGTATTGATGGATTATCATAAATATTAACGAAAAATCCATATGACAGTACTTCCTCCTTCCATTGTGCCTCATCTCGATAGTATTGACGATATTGATCCATTATCCTTTGAATTTGCACCAAACCTTCTTGTACAACCTTTTGATTATCCGAGAAAAACTTTTGTAATTGAAAAGTCATTTGGAAATCATCGGTGATGCCAAGGACATCATGTCCCATAACACATTCATGTGAAGAAAAAGAAATTGTAATATTAAATCCTGGATTCATATTATGATCGCACCACTTTGATACTTTATTTCGTTGTATCGATAAAATTCCATGATGATAATGAATCGAATCCCCCATTTTCTTATCGATATTAGATTGATTAATATCACTTTTGTTACAAGGCCCCAAGACCATTCGTCCTTCTAAAGCTCTCAACATATGACGAACGAGACGTCTCCTTCGAATCTCTTTGCTCTCATTCTGTTGGACAAATCGTTGAATTTCCCATTCTTTTGTTAGAACCAAAACACTTTCGTCGTCGTCATACACTATAACAACGGAGAAGGGAAAAGGAACTGCATAAGCTTTGCCAAAGCAAGTCTTAATTTTAGGTACCAAGAATTCTGGTGCGTAATACATGTCAGGTCCAACAAAATTGTTGACAATACTAAGTCTTAATTTTGCGAGAGATTCTGGTAAGGGAGCCATTGCTGAGATATAATTATTAATTCCAATTTGTCTAATAATTTTCAAATTCTCAACATGTCGTTCAGCAACAGTTCCAGAAAAGTTCAATAGATATGGAGGTCTGAATGGGCTTTGAGAAAATGCTACTGTTTTACCATCGCGCATTTTAAATTGTTCAGAAGTGAGCAGCAATGTTGACCATGTTTCTTGCCATACTCTTCGTTTGATGTGTTTGGCGAAATCCAATTTTGGAGAATAGATATTCAAAGAAAAATCCAATCGCTTTCTCATAACCTTGACAAAACTTTTGTAACGATTAGTTTGCACTATTATATACCAAACGACAAAAGCGCCAACGATAAAATCTGTAGCAATCATCGCATAGCTTATTTGTTTTCCAGGTCCAATTTTAAGAACAGTTAACAATACCAAAACACTTGTTATGACATAACCAGCTCTTGACCAATATTCGCTTAAATTCTGGCCTTTATCAAGGAAAGGTTCACTACGCCAATGAATTAAAAATAAAATAACCATCAATAGAATTTGAAGACTAGAACGGATTGTATCAACACGCACCCTTGTAAATGATCTAAAGAGGCAATTGTCTTTTGATATCACAGATACAAGAAAGATTAAACAAAACTTATTGACCATAATGAATGTCTTATAAGCTGCCCACTTATGATTATATACTATGAGTCGGTAAAAAAAAAAAAGGATTTAATTAATTTTTAATTGATTAATATGATTAGACGACAATAATAATAATATCTCACCACTATACAAGAAATTATAAGGACATGTATCTTTCATCAAGAGTTTTCTGTACTCCGCTTCTGTATTATGTCTAGTTTCACCCAATTCATCATATTTGTCCACTCTTGGGAGATTTTTATCAACCAAACGTTTTAATGCAATAGGAAACCAGAATGAGAAAACACAAATTATTATTATTGCAACCACAATGATAACTGGTGAAAAGTTCAAATCATCTTTGTTCATGCTGGTGACATAACAGAAATCCTTCGGATCGCGAAATTTATCCGAACCACTTCCAAAATCGGGGAAGTCCACACCATTATCGTAGGGGTTAGTGATAGGCCAAAATGATTCCGACCATACCAGCGCATCAATAGATAATTTTGAGAGTGGAAGATAAAGCGTGGTAAGGGTGAATACTATAACAACGTTATGTCTTCGCTTTGATTCAGGACGAAGATTCCAGGGATGGGATTCGAGACCCTATTAATTTTAATCATAAGTTAAAAAATCAATAATAATTCATATATTTAAATAAATAGTTTAATAGTTCAGAAATTATCAAAAGACCTCAACATCGGCATTCGGATCATATTTAGTCATTATTCTGAACCAGTATAACCCTCCCAAAACCATAACACAGAAGACGAGGAAAAAAGTAGTCCCATTTCCGAATACGCGATCCAAATTAAAACTCAACAAATTTGGTATGACATTTAGTATGATCTTCACCCAATATCCAAATATTTTTGCAGGTACAAATGATAGAATCAAAGCCAAAAATTGTACAAAATCCCTAAAAATTTCAAGCTTCATCCAATTCATTCCAAATGCTGTAGTTTGACCAGATAAAACAGCATCAATTGCAGTTTCAAGTACTCTTTGACTTAGAAGTCCATCATTCTTTACAATGTTAAGCTTTAGATCATCTAAACAGATTCCATCAGGGATTTGATTCATCGGAGGAAACATGTCTTCTATATTTTTTTCATCAGACTTTCCATACCCAATAAAATTTTCATATTCCTCAGCTGTCATCAATTCCTTCGGTTCAGAGAATTCAGTTGGAGGAAGAGATAAGATAAATTCGTCAAGATGAGGTAAATGTATCCATGGGGCGCCAGGTTTAAAAAGTTCATTTGTTTCAGATTCATTAAATGGATTTATACTAAATTTTGTAATCATTGCAGGATCTACATCTACATCCGCCATGGCAACAACTTGTTGTTGGGGCTCATCTTTGGATATTGAATCAACTCGAGTGAAATCAGGTACTGTCATATTATTTTTGCGAAACGCGTCATTAAATTGATGATGTCGATATCGTATTGACAAATCTGGTAAGGAATGATTGATCCTCCCATATTCTACCGAAGAAAGACTATGAGGAACAAGCATGGACATATTAGTTTTTGATGTATTATATTCTGGCAAGTCATGTTTCGTATTTCTAAGCGTTTTCTTTTTAATGAAAGGATTGTTCTTGAGAGTGCTTACAGGAGAAAGTTCGTCTCGTTCAAGTCGCGTAGTGCTATATGGTGATTTAGGGATCTGAACAGGCTTGAGATTTTGACGTTTCCAAGATTTTATGCCACCTTTTGAATTGAATGTTTGAAAGGATCCAGTCTTTCCTAATGAAATTGTCATAGTATATTCGTCATTATGGACATCTCGCGATGTAGTATTTCGTTTCGAATAATTAGTGCCATCTGAATTGTTGCATTTATTTGGCTGAAAATAATTTCCTAGTTTTTCAATAATTTGAATTGTTCCACTAATAGGCTTTGTTAACATTGGATTAATTGTGGAATAATTTTCATTTTCCTTGGGAACTGAACGAGATTGTTGCATGCTATTACTCTCGTGCATTTCCATAATAAAAGTATTTGTATCTCGTGCAGAAGGTATTGATTGTCTTTTCTTATCCTCAGATTTTGGACCAACCACAACTTTGTACATGTCAGATTGATCCGTACTCATCATATCCAAGAAAGGATTATAATTTTCATTTCCATTTCCTCCATCATTAGAATTAAATTTACCGTCTAAGGACGAATAAAACGGATTTAAATTCAAATTTTTCAAAGATTCACTTGGCGATTTTAGGAAACCAAATGGATTAAACGAATTTGATGTTGTCTTAGGCGTTGTACCATTTGTAATTTCCCTATTTGTAAATGTTGTTTTATTCTGTAAAGGAGTATCTAATTGTTTTGATTTTGAAGCGTTATTATTCTTATTTTGATTAAATGATGATGATGCTTGCACGGATGTGGAAGTATGTTCTGGTTCTGGATCAGATTGTTCAATATTTGACTTTTTTTTTGATTCGAATACCTTCTTTTGAGTTGATTTACTATTAATGTCCTTGAGAAATTGAGAAGATGATGACTCTTGATTTGTAAGCTGAATCGGAGAGATGGGTGATGACATGAAAGTTGGTTCATTAGTGAACTTTTTCGATGAGATATTCAAAGGTTCCGGAATGCGTTGTTTCCGCTTTGACTTTGAATTTAAAGTCGGAGAAGTCGGAGTAGAAGGTGACAAAGGTTCTGGAATAGCGTTATGAAGATTTATCATGGACGATGATGTTAAAAAAGTCTGACTTCGTTTAATTGGAGCTAAAGTCGGAGACGTGGGTGCTGAGTTGTTCGGAGATGAAGCCTTTTCATATATATTTACAAGATTGGTTACTTTTCGAGCTGGAGGTAATGGACCGATTTGATTAAACACGTCTTTTGTGTTTAGCACATGATCACGTGGACGCGTTATGTAACTATTTTTGGCGGGAACTGGTGGTATGGATTTAAGGGCCATTATAGAAAGTGGACTTGAAGTGTCTTTATTGGAAGAGTCATCATTCTTTGACAAAGAATTTCCCTGATCATTTTCTTCGGATATTAATGAATGTATGTTATGGGTAGGAGATAAGGAAGGTGAGGATGATGTGTCCTTTGATTTTGGGATAAAACCTTGATTTTGCGGATTCCGCTGAGGAGGTGAAGAGGAAATATTTGGAAATAAAGAACTTCGCGGTGACTTTGAAATCGGTTCAGGATCCCTTTCTTGTTTTTCGGCCCAAAACTTAATTAAATCGTTAACTGGTTTTTTTGGAGGGAGGCTTGCCATTTGTTTTTTTTTTTATTATTACGAAATTAGTCCAAAAAAATTAATTGGAAACATACAGAGTATACATGAATTATGTAAAGTAATGTTAATCTTTTTTTTTGCAAGGTAGAAGTTGAAAATTTTTCTTTGCTATGCGACAACAAAAAAAATTATTAATAAAAATAAAAAGAAGTAAAGAATTAAAAAGGAAGAGAAACAAAGAAAGGTAAAAAAAAAAAAAAAAAGATATATAATTATAATTATCATACCATTACTAAATAATTATTATTTTCTGTTCGATTAAACAAGGATATATTGAACTTTACGTTAAAAAAATGGTACAAATCAAAAGCGGTTGTAAGGGAAAAGAAAAAAAAAAAGAAAAAGAGAAAGATCGTAAGGGGAAAGAATTTGTATGACCGAGTAGATATTTTCCCTTAAATCACAAGTATTTATAATTTTCTCTGCTTGATTTTTTACGCCATAATTAGGTAATTGAAAGTAATTGATTATTTAAAGTTTTTTTTTTTTTTGTCTCCGTAAAAGACTTCATGTGCTAGGGGTAAAAATTCTAAATTCTGAATTATGTGATTCTAGTATGATTCTAATCCGAAATCACGTGATTATAATGAATCATGAAATCATCATTATCGAAAAAAAAGCAACGCGACAACGGTGAATATTTTAGCAAAATTAATGAATTATTGCTATTCTATTGTTTTTCTAAGAATTTAATTAATTATTCATTCATACATTGGAGTTCAGCGAAAAAAGTATATTATTTATTAATATTGTTATTACATATTTTTTATGAGGTTTAAGTATTATAAACTTAAAGCATTTCACATTAAACACGATAATTAAAAATAATGGTTCAACCATCAAGTATTTATAGCAAATCATCTCCAAGATTCATTGAAATCATTGTACAATGAAAGGTTAGAATTAGCACCCCTTATACGAAGATTTTTAAGTCGATCTTTGCGTCAAGAGATAAGCTTCAACTAAAGTCAACATTTTTATAAATTTGATAAATTTGCATTTTAAGATCAATAAATTTAAGGAGTGAATTGACTATACACAGTATATAGATTATCTTGTGTATTCCATTCGTTTTCTTATGAAAAATATGTAGCGCAGTAATTTTGCACTAATTATAGTAGTAATCTCCGAATATCCACCGAATAATACAAATATTTGGCGTCATGTGCCTAATTCAAAATAATAAATATTAGCAAATGCATGGAAATTAAATGTAACATAAAATGTATGCTTTATGGCATATGTCATAAATTTTTAATCGCGATTAAAACCTGTTAAATTTTGATATGGAAACAACATTATTATTTTTTTTTTGAAATTAATAAACTAGCCTTATTTATTGCTATAATACCGTAATATTGGTAATCTTCCATTTCGTAAGATGGGTAGATACTCACTCGAAAATCAAACCGATTGAATATAACATGACAGGTATTTTGTCGGATGATCTATCATCTATTATTATAACATTCGAACGAAAGATTTGAAATTCCGTTGGAATTTTTCAATTTAAAGATTTCATTAATGACTAATTTTTTTTTATAACTGTGGATTAATTAAACCAAGAATAAAGGGAAATTAAGAATCGTTACCTATCTTACCGTTAAATGATTCTCCTTTATTATGTGATTTAGAACACTGATAAGAAGCACGAGATGATGATTTATCAATTTCACGTTAGAGATTCGATTCATAACGTTTTCAAAATTCTTTCTTTCATAAGTAATTTCTTCATGAACAATGTTGGAAATTTTCATTACGTTTTAGGGTGGTCGTATGGTTTTAAGTAAGCCTTCAAAGAGTTTGTTTATTTTGTCTTTAATAATTTTTCTTAATATTTTTTTTTTTAAAGGTGACAAAATCTTTATTAAATTTTACAAATAAAAACAGAAAATGCGAAATATCTATAAATAAAATTAAAATTTTAACGAAGTCTAAACTAAATTTATCAATAGCTTACTAAGCAGCTGCATCATTCTGGTAATGTTATTTTCTTTGCTTCCAAATTTTGAAGGATCCTTGGCAACATGTAAATCATTGATAATAGAGATGTGAGTTCCGGAAGACTTGGACATAGGTAGTATGTGTAACAATATTGTGTATTTAAATTATTTCTTGGAATTTGCAAATATACCACATAATGTAATAATTTATATTGGTATGACAAAAAATATTTTATTTATCATCGTAAAAAGAAGAAACTTGCGTCAAATTTTGATTTACTGCGGATGATGCGGCATCTACAAATGGAGTTAATAACGAAGAAAACGTCTTTTATGTTTCCACTCGATTATTGAAAGTGGACCTTTTCCAATTCATGGATACTGCATACAATATGAGTAAGAAAAGTTATTATTTTAGTTCATTAGTTAAAACTCGACAATTAAGTATTTAAAAAAGTAAAGAAAGGTACAATTCATGCATACAATTTGATAATATGGGACCTTTGCAATAGAAAAGAGGGGAAACTTCCAGGAAAAATAAAAATAAAGTTAATGCTAAATCTGAACATATTTGGCCTAAAAATCATAGTTTGCATATTAAAAAGTAAATTGATTTTTTCCAGCAGATTCCCCTTTTCTATTGCAAAAGTCTAGAACAAACAAATAAGACAGTCCTTCAGTATTAGCAACGTCCAAGTTGTGAATCCCATGGCTAATTTCATATACTAAAGATATAAGGTATGTACGATAATTTAAGTATAAATTTATAATGAAAACATTTTTTTATTTTTTTTACACAAATTCTTCGAAAATACTTTATTATTCCTATATATAAAAATATAAACATGTCTCCGATTCAATTAAAAAAATGTAACATCAAAATTAATGTAAAACATGAAAAGCGAACTACGTTTCTTAAATTTATAACTGCTAGCACTTTCGATAAAGGTCGTAACTTTTTGACGGGAAATTTCTCCGAATGATAGAACTCTAAAATTCAATTTGTATTACGAACGGAACTACTTTTTTGATTAAAATTAATCTATGCAGTACTATTTTTTTTTTTGATATGAAATTTCTTTTTTTAATTTTAATGACATAATAATTCTATTAAGGATTAGTGTAAATCTTAATTCGTCTAGATTAGTACCAATTTTATTTATTTATATGCGCGAAAAAAAAATATATATATTCGTTTTAGCAAAATTTTTTTAAAAAAGAAATAAAATGAATTTTGATGATTTGCTTGGAAAGCAGCGTAAATCAGAACCTAGGGTGGTTCTTTTATTGCGTATATTTGCGTTACTTATCATCTCATCATGCTTAATATCATATATCACAATTTTAATCATTGATGTAAATGATGAAATTCCTGCGATTAAAACCTCGGAAGTTCCCGTGGATTCGATTGCAATTCCCGGTAATTCTAATATATGTATTTATTATTTTCTTTCAAAAAAAAAAAACAAGTTTTCTCATAAAAACAAATTTTTGTAATAATAGATTTCGCTTTTTCATTTGGATTTTCCTTTAAAATTGTGTGTTCTTTTAGTTGGGTTAATAATGGTATTTATTGAAATTACGAATTTTTAATCAAAATTGATTTTAATTTATTTATTTAATTATTTATTTATAGAATTTAATAATAGAATAGATGATTCATGTATGCGATACATAATTACTCCAAAGTATATTCAAGGATTGTATAGAGGAAGTTTTTCTTTAAATGATCAATCATATTTATTTACTTCCCCGAAACAAGATGAATGGTTAGATACTTTGGCATTTGTATTTGTTGCTGACGATCCAAGTTTCAATGCTTCTATGATTTCCGTTTCACCTCCTTACATGCCACCTTACATACAAATTTTTGATCCGGGTAAGTGAAATCTATCTTTTGATACCACTAAAGCGTTATTTGGTAATTAAAATCTTTTTATTTTATTTTTTTTTTGTAAAAAAAAAAAAAAAATTATTAGACAATAATCCTATTAAACAATTCGATGGTACGTTAGATTTATCAAAGTTAAATTCTACTTCTCGAACGACAAATAACGAACGAGAGATATTATATAAAAATTGGTTTTTAATACGAGATAAAATGGTATTTCATACTTTATTATTTATTTTATATTATTTTTTCTTTTTTTTTTAAAAAAAAAAAAAAAAAATTTCAAACCTTTTTATAAAATACAAATCAAGATCGCTTTCGTTTCTTTTTTGAAATATACAAAAAAAAGTATTATCCCAAATTGGAAAAAGAATTTTGGAGTGTTTTTAGATTATAAAGTATCTACTTATATTAAAACAAAGTTGGATCGTAAGTAATTTTTTTTTTAGTTTTTTAAATTATCTTAAAGACATAGTGATTGATTTTTTTTATTTTTTTTTTTTTATCGTGTAGAGGAATATTCGGTTAATGAAAGTGAATCTTATCAAGGTATGTTTATAATTAAACCGGGTTCATTTATTGACTCTATGGAAACTGAACAGAGGTATTCTTTTCTTTTCTTTATGTATTTATTTTTTCTGAATTTATTAAAAACTAATTTTTCGCTATTATACTTTTAAAGATCTAGTACGGTAATAATTTTTTTTTACAAAAAATTTGATAATATACTGTATATAATTAATAATTAATATACGTATAAAATAGTACTTGGGTATTATTGGAGTTATAGGCGGTAAGCAATATTATATAATTTCACACGATAAAATCTTTGAGCTAAACGTATACAAATTGTTCATAATGCAGGTGCTTGGGGGCTAGTAGCGGCATTTTATGCTTTTCTATTCGGTAATGTTCCATGGAAAAGGGAGAAAATTAAAAAAATTTCATTAATTACTAATTCCTTATCACCTATTGATTAGGCGCATCATCAATCCATCCGTGGGGTTTTATACAATCACATTGTTGTGGAATTAAACCAAAAACACAAAAAAAATTGAGAGAATCGTTATCAATTTTACCATTAATTGATGATTCTTTATCTGATCATAAAGGTACAGCGGAAGAATTTTCAGCGGAAGAATTCAATCAGATGAAAGGAAGATTGAAATCTTTAGAAACGTTATTAAGAGAATATGTTATTGATGTAAAGTATTTACAAAGCATTGAAAACTGTAATATTAGAAAAGCAGAGACCAAAATGGGTGAAACTTCTTCAAGTGTATCACTAAAACAGATTGACATTCAACCTGTTTAATTGATGCTTAAATTACAATAGAATTAATACTAATTCTAAGTTCAGAGATTACATATTCAAGCTATCAAGTTTTATTTTATTGGATTTAATATCTTGCTAATATTTACAATCTCTTGACATTCATTTTCTTAAATGCTATCTGAATTATGATAAGTTCTCTTCATGTTACTTTTACATTAATAGTTTGATTAATCTGAGTTGATTGATATGACGGATTTATCATTCTTATCATTTGATTTCTCTTGATTTTCTTGATTATTTTCTGATGATTATACTCTAGTGTAAATGTTTTTTTTTGATTTTATCACCTACATTTTATAATGTTTTAGCAAAATTTTATTGAGCAAATTTGAACACAGTCATTCTAAAAATGAATAATATAATTAATAAATATATATCAATTATATCAATTGAAAATTTGGTTTACTTCATAAAATAAATGGTAAAACTATTACAGGAGTATAAATTTTCAAAACTGTTTGTATCTGAATAGATTAGCAGAAAAGAACAATAATTATCTTAAGCTACCTTTTATGTAGGATTTACCAATTTTATTATTATATTTAAATCAGTAAACAAAGCTTTCAGTTAGAATGAAATAAAAAATTCTAAAAACATTTTGAATTAAATCTTCTGCTAAAGCATCTACAAATTAAATTAATAATTTCTGAATCTTTATCTTTAAATTGAGGTTTATTTATTTCATTTATAGTTCTAGAGGTATCTATTATTTTATCATAGTTTAAGTTTAAATTATCAAGTAGTAGATATTCAGTCTCATCTTCACTTAAATAACTTTTTTTATTATCTACAGTAGTTTGAAGGCTACTAAATATTTAAATCAAATTGAGATTTAATTAAAGTTGTTTTTGAACAGAATTTTAGTTAGGTTAAATTGAGATAATTAGAGTTAAATATTTTCTGATTCTCTAGTATTAGATCTTTTAAGAATCTAGTCTACTTTAGCAAGTAGTAGACAAGTATTTTCTTCTTCAATCAAGTTATAATAATAGGTTATAAAAGGTATAAATCTAAGTTCAATTCGATTTTAAGATTAAAGAGTAGTTTAACTAATATTTCTCTTTAAGAAAGCTATGTTTAATTCTTCTTGTAATGGGGGGAACAAGGGGAATTCCCACTAAGGAGTGGTGGCCTCTCCAGTGCCTTCTTGCTATATTACTATGTATTCCTTTTCCATTTCTCGCATCTCTAGCTCATTATAATTACTAATTATATTTCTTGCCTGTCTGGAGATTCCACAATCTCGGAAATACTATTTTGTAATCTTACTTAGCTAAACTCTTTGGAATTGTATAAATACTAATTTGTGCACATAAAGCCCCGAATGGCTTCAGAAGGTCATCCTGGATATTACAAAAAATGTCACATATCAAATTCCTAATGAAATAATACTTGTAACCCTAAGAAAACCAATTTGCTTTCTTGATTGGCGTTCGTTCTGAAATCGTTTGTTTCCAAGTGGTTAAAAAAAATCTACTTTGGCACGTTCCTATCTGAAACCCCTTTGGAATCCATCTTGGGTAACAAAATTTTTCACATATATGATCGCTAAACATGAAAACAAATAGTGTTCACATTCTGCAGAGTACCGAAGGTGCGAAGCATGTATACAAGATATGAAAACAAATAGTGTTCACACTCTGCGGAGCACCGAAGGTGCGGAGCATATATACAAGATATAAAAACAAATAGTGTTCACACTCTGCGAAGCACTGAAGGTGCGGAGCATGTACATAAGATATGAAAACAAATAGTGTCCACACTCTGCGGAGTACCAAAGGTGCGGAGCATATACATAAGATATGAAAACAAATAGTATCTACACTCCCTTTTCTTCACATTGTTCAGAAAAAGATAAATAGGATACTTTGTTTTCTGGCTTCGAATTTATAAGAAGGCAGGCATGAAAAAAATCAAGTGATATAAATGATCATTCATATTGTATTCCTGTCACTAGCCCGTCACTAGCCTGAATTTTTGCAAGCTTCTGACGTTGATAAAAATCTCGAATGTGATATTTGCCAGCATGTTTCCTATAAGCACTATAAATAGAGGAAGTTAATTTTCCGCATTCTATACAGAGAACCCGCCTAAGAGACTTCCAATGAATTTTACACCCTTCTGGCCGATAGTATCCCTCATTGCATACTTCTCCAGTCCTAAGAATATATGGATATTTATAAAATCCCATTCCAATAGTCTTTTCTTTTTGAATAAATATGTAACTCTAATTATCCGATTAAATTAATTTTCATTTTAAACTTTTTGTAACCATATATACTCTTTGAGAAAAAATGAGCGGAATACTTGGTAGTATCACCAGTGCATTAGGACGATTATTCGGAAACTTTTGGGAGACCCGACACCACCTGAGTTACCTGAGCCTCCCAAAGAAGAGGTGGACTCAGATGGGAACAGCGACTATTCGACCGCTTTAACTTGTCAAAATACTCAAAATACAGAAACAAGATGGTATTTAGCAATTCAAAGGTTTCTATTCTGGAAAAAGCAAGGTAAGGATGTTGAGTTCTATGATGGGAGTATACAATGGATTGGTTCTGAAAATGATTTCCGTGATTTATCACGAGACTGGTTTTTAATCAAAGCCAATCCAAATGAGACACTTCAGGAAGCACATAAACGATATAATGAAGAAGCCAGTGCAATCGCATGGTGGAGTAGAGGACAGATTGATTTATGAAAAACTGGTACATATGCAATGTCAAGTTTGCGCTTCTTCCAAGATGTCTCTAGTGCTCCTAGAAAATCAGAAGAATTATTACAAGAAGAAGACCATTGGATAAGATCAGCATACACAGGAGCTTTAACATGGGCTGAGCCATATGAAGGAATTGCGACTGAATTGGACTTCAATGAATTTTATCCAGAGATTTTATCTAGTTATATGTCAGGCTGGCCCGTAAGAGCAGGTGAATTTAAAATAATCACACATATTAGGACTAATTCTATCAAGGATATCCTAAAGTATGGTATTTATTGAGTCTTCATAGAAGGACAACCAGCAGAACAAAAATGTATAAGAGGATTTCATTATAATCCTGCAGGATATTACACTCACTATGATTTATTATTAGCAATGAATTTAGGTCTCCACATAGAGTTATTCTCTGAAAGTCCTAATGCTCTTATATTTGAGCAAACTACGCTTATGAGCGGGCATGATATTTTCAATCAATGGCAAGATATCTTACAGAGATCAAGAAAGAGGGTGGACAAGCGGGAAAAGTAGCCAAACATATGCTAGTATTACTCTAAGGGCGATTATACTCAGATGGGAGAAGGCCAGGACCACATCGGTATATGACACCTTTTATCTCAGCAAAGGAACGCAAAAATATATCAGAAAAAATTAGACCTGTAGGAGATCGTGTAAAGCATATCCACACAGATGGTTTTATTATTTCAGATAAAAATACTGAACAGCTGATAGAAAGATATGTAGGCGGGAAGAGTGATCTAAAAATTGCAAAATCAGGTATCGTAACGATAAAAAATGTGATGAATCTAAAGTGGGTCGATTTTGAGGAAATAGTCCCACCACCCCTGAAATCGGAAAAATCACCCATCCGTTTCTTATCTTTACCAAATGAGATTCTCGATAGAATTTTCCAACATTATAGAAAAGATAAGGATAAGAAAATGTATCCACTTTTATTTGTTAATAAGCAATGGTATTATATTGCTAGAAGATTAATATGACAAAGAATAACTCTAACAGCTATCTCCAGAATCAAGTTTACTAAAGCATTGAGTAGGAATACGAAGCCAGTCATATGTGGACAAGTATAAGGTCTTAAATTTATTAGAGAAATAAATATAGAGCCAGATGTCTACATTTCTGAAGTGTGTAAGGCATGTCTAAATTTACAACGGCTAAGTTTTGAAAATTGTGGATCGCGTATACTTAACAATAAAAATCTAGAATCACTTCTAGCTGAGTGCTCCAATTTAAAAAGACTCACAATAAGAGGTTCTAGTCACATAAGCCCAAAAACATTTTTAAAAATTCCAAAACTAGTCACTAAATTGGGAGTGATAGAAATTAGGACTTGTTTGCGGATTAGAGATGACACAAAAAGCAATTTCCAAAACTTATACCCAAAAATAAAACTTATTTATGAAGAGGAATAGCTTAATAAATAATGCGAAGTAATATGGTAAACGTTACATATATCACGAGAACAAGCAACTGCGCAAAATAATTATCAAGACACATCTTCCAATCAGATTAATTAAATTGGATAGACGGTCTCAGAGGAACCATATATATTCAAGCAGGCAGGTTATGCAACATATTAATTTTCACATATCAAAAAGTTATAGTTAGTTTTCTTATTTTGCGGGATCGCTAAGAGATCATCCAGCTGGAGGCACTAATCATGAAGTCTTTTTTTTATTGATTTGCAAGGGTCTAGTCCTAAAGGAACTGCTAATAAATGATGCCATGCTGTGTGTAATTGCTAATGAAAATCTGGTAATATCTTTCTCCTGCGACCCTATAAAACAAGCGAGAAATATTGTTTTTTTTTTCAGAAAACGTTACCAAAGAAAATCAAGAGAGTGTAAACCTGACTTCTACTGAGGAGGATAACAATCTGGGTGATCTAATTTATTATGATGATAATGAGCCGAGAGGCGCTTCGTATGATGATTATGGGGGAAAAAGTAAGATTCCGAAACCTTTCATCTCGTCTCTTATTAATCATAGGAACATAGCTTATAATACCCTGAAGTATCTTGAGGATGATACGGTCAAGGATAAAGAAATCTAGGAGCTTAGGCAATGCACTGAGTGTACGAACAATATTTTGTCATCACCAATCAAAGCACTCACCATCCTCACCTGCGGGCATATTTTTCATAGACCATGTATCGAGAAGCAACTTCTACATACCAAACCCAGTACATGCCTATTTCCCGATTGTGAAAAGAATGTCGATATTATTGTAGATCCAAATTCTATTAGGAGAGGTTCGCAATCATCACAATCTAGCGGAACTTCGGCTTTAACTAATTTGATAGGTAAAAAAGTTGTCCTGAATTCGCCAGTTATACCAGAAGAGGGAAGACCATCTGACCCAATGGACGTGAATCCCGATGGCAATGTAGCACTCATGAACGTATTATTATCAGGTGGGAGCAAAGATCGTCCAAGTCTACTGGGGTCGCTAAATAACACATTTTACATTCTATAAAAATCTTTGAAATTATATTTGTTTCTATTTGTAAGAAAATCTTAAAAAAAAACTTATTTTTAATGTAAAGTTTCACATGATAATCTATCAATTTCTTAATTAATATTAATATAATAGTTATCAAATATGTCATATACAGCAATTATTAATTAAAGAATCTTGTATTACATATTCTAATTGATTCAAAAAACAAAGTTTCTAAAACATACAAAATTTTTTTAATAAACTGAAAATGTAACATATAAACTTTAAAAAACATTAATTTTATAAGAATATTTCGCTTCCTTAAAATTTTATATATATAGAATTTAATTATAACTTTTTGACTTATATATAAAGATCTTTTTATTAATATTAATTATTTTCAAAAATTTTATATAAAATGTTAGCCAGTAATATCATTTTATATTAAAAAATCTGCTTTAAAATTTAGATGTATATTGTTAAAAAATAAATAAAAAAGTAAAATTTCTATGTAATATAGTAAAACTTAAGTAATTTAAACTTTATTATTTTTTTTAAATATAATACTAAAAAATTATTTCTTTTATTTTTTAAATATTCTATATTTATTCTATTAATACATATCCTCATTTCTCCTTTATCAACCAGTCTGTATGGGTTTATGAATTTATTCATTTTATTATATAATCATCTATATTGTTAAATCTATTAAAATTAGTTTATAATCTTAAATATATCTTACTTAGTTATTGTATCATCAAACCCTTATTATTATATGGTCCGATGCAAAATGTAGATATACCAATATATTTATAGTAAAAAAATAAATTTTTAAATTTAATATAAACATTTAAACATTTTTATTTATTATATAGGTTTTGAGAAATATTTTAATATAAATTTTATTAAAATATAAAATTTCTATAAAAATTTTATTAATCATCAATTTCTTCAATTTCAGAATTTTCATAATCACTTTCAGCCAATAACATATCATCACATGATTCTTTATATTCTATGGCTTTGTCAAGTGCTCTTTTCCAAAATTCAATAATAATTTTAGTGGTAACCTTTTCATTGAAGGCATGCAACAATTTATTTCTAATAGCTAAAAGACTTGGGTGAAAATCAGACCTAGCAACCTCACTTTTAATAATTGACTAAACTCCTTCAATTAGTTGGAGTTCACAATGATAAGGTGGAGTATAAAATAAATTGTGACCATGTTCTCTAGCTTTTTTAATATACATAAAAGGTACATTTATTTTATTTTGTTTTACCAACTCATATAATTCTGCTTTAGTAGAATTTTCTGGAACATCAATACCAGTTGAAGTTAACCAAGCAATTAATGCATTTTTTTTTGAGTTTGATGTTAGTACTTGTTCAACTCGATGTTTATGATACTGAGCACTATCCATATGAATATTTACTGGTCTATAACGTTCCTTAATATTAGCATAAAGTTTATTAAAAGATCTTCAAAAATGTCAGCTGTAAAATCCTATGATAATCAATATAGTCCGCTATAATGTTAGAATTTTAAATAATTTCAGAAATATTATCCTAGGCATTAGCATTTGCTCATTTTCTTCCTCTTGATGAAGATGGTTTTATTGATGGATCTCACATAAGAAGTAAATTAGGAATAACTTTACCATAAAGCTTATTAGTATTACCATTGCATATTACAATTATTACTCTAAAAATAACAATTAAGGGATCACGCCCTAGTGAATATACTATTCCATAACTTGGTATCCAAGTACAGTTCGTAATATAGTACAAATAATAATACGATTTGTCTAAAAAAACCTCTGACCTAATTGAAACTTTATTTTTTCATTATAAGTTTTCAAACTGATATCGTAAATAATAGTTATGAAAGATAACATTCGCTAGTGATTCATGCAATATATTTTGACATTTACTATAGTTATAATAATATCCTAATTTATAAAGTAGACGAAGTAACTGCTATTTTGATAATTTATGACCATTTTCTTCAAGCTTTTGTCGTAATATTTGTGTTGAAAGTGGAGTATCAGAAGTATTTGCAGGTATAATAAAGCTTCATAAAATTTTGGGAATATTATGATTAAATGTATTTTTAGGCTGACTGAGGATTTTTTGTGTTTGAAACTCTCCATTTTTTTTATTTTGTTTAGTAATCACACGCGCAACTGTAACCTCTCCAATACCAAGAATTATAGTAACCTCCTTACGTAATGGCAAGTCATGATGTTACTTCTGGCATTATTGAACCTTAAAAAGTGTTGATAGACATTAAAAATTATTTTTCGTTCATTATCAGTCAACAGACTTTTATCTCTAGTTAAGTCATCTATGAGAAAAAAAAAGGTTCAAAATTAGTAAACTATTTAAATTTTGAACACAATCTAACCTTTCGCATCATTTGTACACTCAAATGACATAATTGTTAAATTTTCTATCATTTAAAAAAATTAGGTAATGATTTTTGTGTATCTACATTTTTGTATCAGACTATATTTAATTTAATAATTCTCATTATTATTAGTATTAAAATCAAAAATATTTTTACTTTCTTAAAAATAAGATCATTAAAAATATATTTATCTTTTAAATTAGGATTATTAATTTTATTTTGAAAAGTCAGATATAAAGCTCTGAATGGTTCGGATTAATCTGAAGATCTTTTGAATTGATTTCAGATTGCATAAAAATCAATCTGAAAATTTTGATTCAGTTCAGATTTTTTTCAGATTATAATTCTAATCTGAATTGAAAAAAATTTGAACTAAACTGATAATTTTGGATTAATCTGAAAGTTCAGTTCAATTATATGCGAAATTCTTGAAGGATTGCAAAATTTGCAAATTCTCTAAGAGGATTGCAAAAATTTAGCGAAACTTTTAGAGAATCACAATTTTTTGCGATTTTTCTTCGAATTTCGCAAAAAATTGCGAAAATTTTGGAGAATTGCAATTTTTTGCAATTTCTTTTAGAATTTCATAAAATTATTATAAAACTTTTGAAGAGTCGCAAAAAATTACGATTTCTCTTTGAATTTACAAACTTTAAAGAAAAATTCTCGATTTTTTATGATTCTCTTAGAGTTTCACATATAAATTGCGGATTCCTTATATAATCAAACTGTAATTTCAGATTAATTTGAAAAATTCATTTCAGTTCAAATTTTTACTGGTCTGTAGTTTAGTTCAGATTTAAATTAGCATTTTTAAGATTAATAATCTGAACTAAACTGAATCATTCAGAGTTTTAGTCAGATATATTTATATTTGCTTATAAAGTTTTTCATTTAGAAATCCATTAAGCATAAATTAATAAATAGTAATCAACTTACTAGAAAATCCTTTAACTTATAAAAAAATTTTTTTTGAATATATTATTAGACAAAAAATAAGGTTTATATATGACTAGAAATTTAACTGTTTTACTAATTGATCATAAAAAAAAGTAATTGACATGCTACATATTTAATTAATAAATCTAATTTTTTTAATACGTTTTATTTCATTAGCTTATACAGCTAATCATTACTGGATTCCTTTTTTAGATAATAGTTTCATCCTCTCATTTATCATATATTGTAAATATCTTTACCAAAAATTTCTGCATAAGCAACTTACTCATTAGCATTACATGTACTCGACAAAAATGCGTACTCATACTTAAACATTTCTTTTTTCTGATTTTTTTATGTCTTTTCTCAAATGCAGAGTCAGACTTTCTGGCCTAAAACTTACACTTAAGTATGATTGTCATATTTGCACATTTATTATAAGAAACAGATTAGCTTACAGTTGAGTTGAATCCTAGATTACTTTTTGGATACCATCAGAATAAAATTATTAAGCTATCAAATCCCATTTTATTTCTAATAAAGTAGCTATTCAACATTATGTTAATAACACAGCTCTCAATAATGACTTCAGATCTGTCTCTAAAAAGTAAAATATTTTTACTCCTAGGGACTCAACTATAAGCGATTATACTAAAGAATTGTTCTAAGGTTACAATAGTAAATATCATGTATATAGTTAGAATACACTTTTTCTCTAACTTACCTTGACCATTCTAGGTATAATACACTATTTAGAGGAAAAGAAAACTTTGATCTTATCTTTAATTTTTAGATCTCAATTACAATGTTATCCTCAAGTCTCCACCTTTCTCAACCGATTAAGGTATTCTTGATCTAATTTGGGCTTGTAGACTTTTAACTGAAGCAGAATTACTGAACCTAATTAAATTTGAAGGCTCTGAATATGAAGGTGATATACTTGATATATTCTGAAAGGGTGTTCCTGTCAATTTTCATCTGGATTAAAAGTATTAGTTCCTGTCTCAACCTGAGTATTGTGGTAGCAATCCTATCTATTTCCATCTGAATTAGAGCTATCAGTTCCTATTCTGACCTAACCAATACAACTTACATCTAATATATTCTGAAATAGGGCACTCTTGTCTATTTTCATCTGGATTAGAAATATCAGTTTCTGTCTTAGCCTGAAAATTGATAATAATAAGTCTATTCCTATTTGGATTAGGGCTGTCAGTTCCTGTTCTGGTCTAACTAATACGACTTACATCTTTTGATTGGAATTAAGCTTTTCATTTTAGATAGGAAAATAAGACATTTACTTCTGATCTATGTTTTCTGCATAGATTAAGTCCTAACGTGCAAACAAAAATTTATAGCTTTATTAGAAAAAAATTATTTGTGAAAGGGAAAAAGTAGGGTTGATATTTATTTATTATTTTCTTTATATTATTATATAGGTAAATATTCTTATACTTATCTTTATGAATGCTTTTATGCACTGCCAAGCTGTGTTAACAAATAACCTTGAAGTAACCTTAAAATAACATAATCATGTGATGATTTTACTATGAAATCTATCACTTGATCAAAGTGATCTAGGTTACTTCAAAAAAAGGAAAATGATCTTGAAATATGCTGATACTGCTGCTAAGTGAGTACACCTCATTAGTACTATAAGTGTATTAGCAAAGTTGTAAGATACAGTGTTGATATATTAGCTTCAAAGACTATTCTGATATTACAAACGAAGAATTGAGAATTAAAACAAGATTCAAAAAAATAATTTTAAGTATAACTAACACAAGCAAAAGATTATGATATAATGTTAAACTTAGCAGGTAGAGTATTTTTCTCGATCTTAGTTTATACCTGGGATAGCAAAATAGCTTAAATATATTAATTATATGTCATATATAAATATGTTTACATAAATGGTTGTTGACTATTACTACAAACCTTGAGTATAATTATGAAAAAATATTTATCAATCGAAATCATATGAGTGTTGATCAATTCCTGAATTTCAGTTCTCGTAGATGGCTATAAGAAATGAAATTTGCCAGAAAGTGACTTAGAGCTTGCAAAACTATTATCTTCTTTTTTGTTTAGAAATTTTGAGAATTATATTAGATGGAAAGATAAACTTTTGATGAGTTTTACTAAGGATTTTATTCTGCCAAAATATCATTATTGGGATAAACGAAATCAGATCAGATTTAATGTTTTAGTATAGATATTTTAGATAGACAAAATACTATTGTGGTCTGTGAATATTAGCATAGAATGCTATTTCACTTTATAAACAAGTTTATGTATCAATCGAATCATGTAATTTATTTTTATATTTAATAAAGCTACATTTAACAGTGTAATTCTGATGAGATATTGCCTTGCTTATATCTATGCTGATGAACTTTAAATTATTTTCACCTTGTATAAATAATATAAAATACTCCATTAATTGATTCATTAAGAGAATTAAATGCCAAGCTTTTAGCTAAGATTGAGTTTTTTGATTCTAGTATTTATTTTTATATTTATTATTTAATCATATTTTTATATAATTATATTTACTGAAAAATATTCTTTTTTTTTATATAATTTAACTATTATATTAAAAATTAATAATAAATAAAAAAAACTAATAAAATAAAAAAAATATATATTATACTATTATTAATATAATAATATTATAATTTTAACATAAATGGTATTTTAAATTATAATAAATCCCTATAAAAAATTTGCATACGTTTTTTTATTATTATAAATAAGTTTTGTATATATTTTTAGAAATTCTGTAACACATTTTCTTATATTTTATAAGGAATTTTTTTTAGCATTTTTTATAAAAAAGAATGTATAAGGAATTGTTAATTAATAATATATAAAAATAATAAAAAAAAATTATATTTTATTACATTGAAAATTATAA